CGAGGGTTCGGATCCCACATACAGACCGGTTCCCGCTCACTGGCTGAGCGAGGTGCGGGCGCAGCACCGAGGTTTGCGATCCCGTTACCGGTCCCGGTCCGGTGCGGGCGCGACACTGAGGGTTGCGATCCGTTGCCAGACACGAAAAAAGACAAAAAGGAAAAAAAAAAAAGAAAGACAGAGAATAACAAATGCTGGAGAGGATGCAGAGAAAGGGGAACCCTCCTACACTGTTGGTGCAGCCATTATGGAAAATGGTATGGATGTTCCTCCAACAACTACATACAGAAGTGCTGTGCGATCCAGCAATTCCACTGCTGAGTATATATCCAAAGGAATGGAAATCATGTCAGAGGGATACCTGCACTCTCGTGTTTATCACAGCTCTGTTTACAATAGCCAAGAGTCGGAACCAACCTAAATGTCCATCGTTGGATGACTGGATAAGGAAAATGTGGTATATCTACACAGTGGAATATTACTCTGCCATAAAAAAGAATAAAATACTGCCATTTGTGGCAACATGGATGAACTTAAAGAAAATTATGTTAAGTGAAATAAGCCAGGCACAGAAAGAGAAATAACATTTGTCCTCACTCATAAGTGGGAGCTAAAAAATAAACAAATAAATAAAAAAAAGAAAGACACAACAATCAGAATAATACGTTGAACTTTCAAAAGGAGAGAAAAGAACTGAGGTTACCAGAAGTGGGAAAGGGGGAGATTTAAGGAGGAAAAGGGAGGAATTGGTAAAGGGCCATGAAAAACAATTACATTGTATATTGTTGAATATACTAATTATCCTGATTTGAGAATCACATATTGCACCCAGGTACTGATATTCAACTCTGTACCCCACAGATATGTCCAATCAACTATGTTACAATAAAAAAAAAAAAAGAGAGAGGCCTTTTAAGCAACTTAAGATAATCCAGAAAAAAACAAAATTTGCAAGTTAATATTTCCATTAAGCATAGAGAAAAAAGATAAATTCTAGATTCTATTAAACAAGGAGAAGAAAATTTTTAAAAGGTGTAGAGATTAACTCCAACAGAAAAAGCCTTTTAAAGGAATGCAATAACTTCAGAAATTCCTCCTAAAACATAAATACATTGAAAAAAGATTTTAACAATAGTTCTAGGTGGCAGGCGTTTAAAAAATTAGTTTATATACAGAAATGTATTTTTCTCTATGTTTTTTTTTTTGGTGTATAGTTCTGAGTTTTAACATTTAATATATGCATAGATTCATGAAGCCCCCACCACAATCAGGATATAGAACAGTACCTTCACCCTCAAAATTCCCACATGTTGATCTTTCATACTGAAAACTCTTCCCCCACCCCAACCCCTGGCAACAATGGAACTGCTTTCCAACCTATTGCTTTTGACTTTTTGAGAATGTCATAGAAATGGAATTGTACGGTATGCAAGATGATAAAATTGACTTCTTTCACTCAGCATAATTTCTTGGAGATAATACATTGTTCCCTGTTGTTACCAAGTAGTATTCCATTGTATGGAGGTACCATAGTTTATCTATTTACCTACTGAAGGACATTGGGTTATTTCCAGTTTTTGAAAATTGGGAATAATTCTACTATAAACGTTTGTGTACAGGTTTAGTGTAAACATAAGTACCATTTCTCTAGAATAAATATCTGGGATTGTCGGGACATATGTTAAGTGTATGTTTAACTTTATAAGACAATGTCAAATTGTTTTCCAGAGTAGTTGAACTATTTTGCATTTCCACCAACAATATATAAGAATTCTGATTGTTTTGCATCCTGGCCAGCATTTGCTATTGCCAGTCTCTCTCATTTTTTCTGTCTTGGCATTCTAATAGGAATGTAGTACTATTTCATTGTGCTTCTAATTTGCATTTCCCCCATAACTACTAGTGGTTAGCATATTTTTATATGCTTATTTGCCATCTATATATCTTTTTTGGTGAAGTATCTGTTCAAATTTTTTGCCCATTTTAAAAATTGTGTTGTTTCCTTACTGATAAGTTTTGAGAGTTCTTTATATATGCTGGGTATAACTTGTTGGATATGTGATTTACAAATATTTTCTACCACTCTAGCTTGTCTTTTCATTTTCTTAACAGTGTCTTTCATAGAACAAAAGTTTTTAATGTTGATGATTTCCATTTTATCAATTTTTTCCCTTATAGTGTTTCTGGTGTCATATCTAGGAATTCTTGGCCTAACATAAGGTCATGAAGATTTTCTCCTATATTTTTTTTCTAAGAGTTTTATGCTTTTAAAATTTTATATTTAAATCTATGACCCATTTTGAATTAATTTTTATATAAGATATACCTATACATTGAGGATCCAGTTTTTTGCATATGGGGGATGTTCAATTGTTCCAGCACCATTGGTTAAAAGATCCTTCTCCGGAGCCGGCCCGGTGGCGCACTCAGTAGAGTGCGGCGCTTGGGAGCGTGGCGGCGCTCCCGCCGAGGGTTTGGATCCCATATAGAGACCGGTCCGCTCACTGGTTGAGCGCGGGGTGGGCGCGACACCGAGGGTTGCGATCCCGTTACCGGTCACGAAAAAAGACAAAAAGGAAAAAAAAAATGATCCTTTCTCCACTTTAATTGCCTTTGTACCTTGGTAAAATATAAACTGATCACATTTGCTGGGTCTGTTTCTTGACTTCTCTTTTCTGTTCCTTTCATCTGTGTGTCTATTCTTTTGCTAATACCACAGTCTTGATTACTACAGCTTTACAGTTTTAAAATCTGGTAGTATGAGTCCTCCAACTTTTTTCTTTTTCCAACTCGCTTTGGCTGTCTTAGTACATTTGCCTTTCCACTATAAATTTTAAAATTAGCTGTTATACAAAAAGTTTTACTTGGATTTTGATTGGCAGTGCATTAAATTTATAGATGTAAAGTGAATTCACAAACTAAATATACTGAGGCTTCCAACCATGGAAATGGTATTTCTCTCCATTTATTTAGTTCTTTGATTTCTTTCATCAACATTTTGTAGTTTTCTGCATATAGTTCCACATATTTTAAGTATTTTTGGAGATACTGTAAGTAATACTATTTTTTAAATTTTGGCTCCAATCATTCATTGCTAGTATATGGAAATACAACTGATTTTTGTATGTTGACCCTGGTAGCCTGTGTCCTTGCTCACTTATCACTTTTGGGAGATTTTTGTAGATTCTTTGGGATTTTCTACATTGATAATCATGTTGTCTACAAACAAGGACAGTGTTATTCATTTATTCCCATCTAAATTCTAAATTCCTTTTATTTCTTTTTTTCTTGCTCATTGCATTGGCTTTCTAGTACAGTACTGAATAGGAGTGATGAGAGAAAACATTTTTGCCTTGTTCCCAACCTTAGGGGAAAAGTATTCAGTCTTTTACCAGTAATGTTATCTACAGAGGTTTTTTGATTTTATTGTTTTTTTTAATAGATGCCCTAGATCAGATTAAGGACATTCACTTCTATTCCTAGTTGGCTGAGAGTTTTTATCTGGAGAGAATGTTAAATTTTGTTAAATGCTCTTTCTGCATCTATTGATATGATCTTGCAGCTTTTTGTTTCATCTTTTAAGATGATAGATTACATTGATGCATTTCTGAATGTTGAACCAACTTTCTATTTCTGGGATAAACTCCTCCTGGTCATAATGTTTTGTGTGTGTGTGTGTGTGTGTGTGTGTGTGTGTGTGTGTGTGTGTGTGTGTGTGTGTGTGTGTGTGTGTGTGAGAGAGAGAGAGAGAAAGTATGTATATGAGTGTGTCTGTGAGTATTTGCTGCTCGATTTGATTTGCAAACATTTTGTTGAGTGTTTTTGCTTCAATGTTAATAAGGCATATTAGTTTATATTTCTTTCCTGGTACTGTGTTTGTCTCATTTTGGTATCAGAGTAACACTAGCCTCATCAAATGAGTGAGGAAGTGGTCCTTCCTCTTCTGTATTCTGGAAGAAACTGTATAAGATTGGTGTTATTTCTTCCTCAATTATTTGGAAGAATTTACCAGTCTGCCTGGAATTTTCTTTTTGGAAAGTTTTTAAACTATGAATCCAATTTCTTTAACATACATAGAGGTATTCAGGGTTATCTATTTCTTCTTGAGTTTTATTAGTTTGCATCTTTTGAAGAATTGGTTTATTTCATGTAAGTTGTCAAATTAATGCACATAGAATTGCTTGTAGTATTCCTTTATTAATCTGTAATATATGTAGGGTCTGGAGTGACATACCTCTTTTATTTCTAATATAATTTGTATTTTCTGCTTTTTTTCTTGGTCAGACTAGCTATACGTTTATAAGTTTTATTGGTCTTTTCCAAGAACCAGCCTTTGGTTTCACTGATTTTCTTTACTGATGCTCTCTTTTCAAGTTCAACTCTTTTTAATTATGCTTTTTATTATTACCATCTTTCTGTTTCTTTTGGGTTGATTTTGCTCTTGTTTCCCTAGGTTTCATAAGTTGATAGCTTAAATTATTGATTTTTCTTTCTTTTTTTCCTAATGTCTGCATTTAATGCTACAAATTTCCCTCTAAGAACTGCTTTAGCTGCATCCCACAAATTTTGATATATTGTGTTTTAATATGCATTCAATTCAAAATATTTTTAATTTCCCTTGAGACTTACTCTTTGACCCATGGATTATTTTAAAGTGTGTTGCTTTTTTTTGTTTTTTCCTTTTTGTCTTTTTTCGTGTCCGGCAACGGTTCGCAACCCTCAGTGTCGCGCCCATACTGGACCGGGACCGGCAACGGAATCTCAACCCTCGGTGTTGCGCCCGCACCTCGCTCAGCCAGTGAGCGGGAACCGGTCTGTATGTGGGATCCGAACCCTCGGCAGGAGCGCCGCTGCGCTCCCAAGCGGTGCACTGTAGCAGTGCGCCACCAGGCCGGCCCTAAAGTGTGTTGCTTAATGTCTAAGTATTTGGGGATTTTCCAGACATCTTTTTGCTATTAGTTTCTAGTTTAATTCCATTATGGTCAGAGAACATACAATATATGATTTTAATTCTTTAAAATTTGATAAGGTTTATTTTATGACCCAGGATATGTTATGTCTTTGTGAATGTTTCAACTTGAGAAGAAAACTCTATAAACATCAGAATAAGGGGAAGCTACTGTATTTTTTATTTAGTCCTGTGTTTTTGGTCTCACATCTTTTGCTTTCTTTTTGGCAGCTTGCTGTTTGGGGATGCAAACCCTTGACCTTAAAAACACAGTGCTTTAACCAACTGAGCTAACTGGCCAGCCCATTTTTACTTTTAATTCAAGGCTAAGAGTCCTCTACTCTTCTTTTTTCCTGTCAACCAATCTTCAAGTAACTGTTATCTCTAGGCAAAAATAGTCTACAGAATCACTCTTAGATAATGTCAAAAAATAATGATTAAAGCTGAAATAGTAAGCATACTATATAAAAATGCATTGGAAAATAATTCAGAAAGAATAAGATTCTAATTATAGCTCTTGCCCTTAACTTTTCTGTGTCTTTGTTTCCTCATTGAAAAAATAAAGAATGCTGAGCTAGTAATGTTTAAGGTTCTTTTCAGTAGTCATAGTGTAAGTATGTACTACTTACTCTTTCAATCTGTTTTTCCATTTCTTTATGCTGTTCAAGATGAATTTTCTTTGCTTTTTCAAAGGCTAAACAAATTTTCTCATGCTCTGTATTGATATTGGTTTCTAGACTTCTTATCTTTTCATTCTTTTCCTAGAAATACAAAACACTTTAAAAGATTGTTAATTGTAAAGCAGATTTAAATAAAAATACATTAGTCAAGCATTAAATTTGTAACAATCTATTCTTTAAACAACCATAGTAATTAATACTTTAAAATTTAACAAAATAGTTATTTAAAAATATTTTATCAAAATAAGATTAAGCTATTTTAAAATACTAAGAAGCATATCAAAGAACTACCATGTTTTCCAATTCTATTAGGATAAAAATGACAAAACTTGGATAACAACAGGCCATATAAGCCCATTAATTTAAAAATATAGAAACAAAAAAATAAATTATCAGAAGAGTTTAGTATAATTTATACTTTCTTATTCGGTATATTGTATAATAATGATACCAAAGCAAAGATGCTGTTACAAATTAAGTGCCTAAAAGTCACAGTATATTAATAGCACAAAGTTAAGTTTTACCATAAGCTCCTGTTCCAGTTCTGCATTTTTTGCAGCAATAGAGGAATAAGCGACTATTTTTTCTTCCAGCTGTTTTTCTAGAGTTAAAAGTTGAGAACATTTCTTTGTCATCTGAAAACACATTGAAATAAATATAAAATCATTTTTAAAGGTAATGACTTTGCATCCTAAAGTCAAAACCTGTTCCTCTTTTCAAAATTCAAATACACAGTGTCTAGATAAACTGGGAAAATTTATGGCAATAAACATTTAGGATACAAAGTGAATAACTTTTTAATCCATATAAGTACTTTAAAAAATAAGTGACTTGGGGCTGGCCAGTTGGTTACGGCATGGTGCTGATAACACCAAGGTCCACGGTTTCATCCCTGTACCATCCAGTTGCCAAGAAAAACCCACAAAAAACAAATACTGGCAATTTAGAAGAAAAACAAATAGTGAAAGGAGGACTAGGGATATGACATTACTTCCTCTATCTATGTAATATATAATAAATTTAATTCAGACCCCTATATCCAAATAGGATTATACCCTAATATATTTTTTTAAAGTGGCTATTAAAGACTGAAATTAGCATAGTGAAATGTTAACAGCAGTTATTTCTGGTGGTAGAAATAATCAACGGTTTATTTTCTTCCTTTTCCCTTTCTGTGTTTCCAATAAGACTGTGATATTTTTGTAATTAAAAAGAAAATTTATTACTCTCAGTACTTAATAATTTTCTAAGTGAGCTGGTAGCTGTAATTAAACACAGACTAAATCTCCTTTCCATTATTAACATAAGTTCCTATGCCACAGGTCTTTTCCTTAGTTTTGGCTATATAGACTTAAAGAAGAGAATTAAAAAGTGGACCTACAGATGACTGCAGCCTCTAGTTTGAAGGTTGAGTATAACATATAACACACATGTGGTCCTGGTCCACAGTTACCTAATGAGGCATCCTTGTCCTGTCCCTTTGGCTATATAGACTTAAAGAAGAGAATTAAAAAGTGGACCTACAGATGACTGCAGCCTCTAGTTTGAAGGTTGAGTACAACATATAACACACATGTGGTCCTGGTCCACAGTTACCTAATGAGGCATCCTTGTCCTGTCCTCAATGAAAATGAAAGTCAGAGATTCACAAAAAAATGCATTATCCCCTTTTCAGAATGTAATACACAGCTTATCTGTATCAGTTTCACACTGATAAAAAAATGCATATTCCTGAGCCATACCCCATATCTAATGAATCAGAATGGCTGGAAAGAAACCCAGAAGTCTGCATGTTTAACAGGCTCCTTAGGTGGTTCTGATGTTTGCTAAAATTTAAAATTCTCTATTACAACCCCTTTTCTTCCAATTACATAACCCAAATTCTTTGTTGGTAAATGTGTATTAGCCATATTAACTTATACCTTGGAAGAAATAATAGACTGCAACATAGTACACACATTAGCTCCGCCAAATTTGAAAGCTTTTAGCCACTAGAGTATTTTCCTACTTTTTACATAAGTTAAAACACAAAGGTTTCCAAATATAACTTTAAAAGAATTTATAACTTATGTGATATTATGTTTTTTTTTACATTTATACATCTGGACTGAAATACAATTTTTATAAAACCCTGCAACAATACATTTTTCCCTATTTTAAAATACAGTGCATATACCCAGCTAATTCCAAGCTTACTTCACTCTCTAGTTTGCTGGAGTTGGAAGCTTTCTCTAGCAGCTCCTCTTGAATCAGCTGAAACTGACTAGTTCTGTGAGCCATGTTAACCTTCAAATCAGAATTTTCAGCTTCTATTTGCATTAGCTTAGTACGTAGTTCTTCTATTCCAGTAGCAAGTTTTTGCCTCTCTTTTTCATATTGCTTGTTCACAGTATGTTGACTTTGATCTTTTATACTCTCTGCTAATAAATATAAAAGGAAAATTGTTCTGAATAAAACTTCAAGAATAAAAACCTATTTAAATAGTTGAAAGATTTAATCATAAACAAAGTTTAGTTTCTGATCTTAAGAATACTAAAAGGGGTGGAGAATGAGATATTCAATAAGGAAAGCATAAATAAATAAATAATACAATAAATAAAGTATTTCCTAAATTAAATAACAAAGAGGGAAAAGTTCTGAATCACTCACTTTTCTAGATAGCTGAAGATTATTGCTTTGTAGCAAAAATTTAAGAGTCCTTCCTTACCTTTTAAAATCCCATTTTGGGGGCTGGCCCGTGGCTCACTTGGGAGAGTGTGGTGCTAACACTAAGGTCACGGGTTCAGATCCCTATATATAGGGATGGCCGATTAGCTCATTGGGAGAGTGTGGTGCTGACAACACCAAGTCAAGGGTTAAGATCCCCTTATTGGTCATCTTTAAAAAAAAAAAAAATCCCATTTTTTGGATAGAAATAATAGTAAAAAAAAATTTTAAGTTGCTGTTTCCTTAAACTGAAGTTAATCACAAAATTTGGATGATTTGAGATTAAGAATATTTTAATGTACTGTATGTAGACACAGTTTCAAAGACTGCAAACAGTAAATCCTTCCTAGTCCCATCTTCCACCTCTCCAAACTAGTTGATGAGAATTCAGTAATGCTTTTAAAAACTACTAAGGGTTATCAGAGGCCATTGTTTGAATACATCCTTTCTCCACTATAAACATATACATCTACTCCCACTCCAAGGTAACTTGAGATTCCAGGAGTGCTTTATAAGAAGGCATAATGTAGGTGATTACATGAAAATACACATAGATGTGGAAACAGGTAGAGATGTAACTTGCCTTCAATTGTTATATATAGACATTTCCCATCAATTCTCCACATCCATAACATTTCACTCTCTAGGCTATTTATCTGTTGTCAGAGAGCGTATGATATATTACATTTATGGCCACCTCTAATAACTAGCACTCCCTCTGCTAATTCCATCATTCTTTTCCCTGTTCTCTCTAGTCTCTTAGATATCTGATTTTCTCTGCTGTTAATAGCTCACTGCATTTAAAGACAGACTGTGATAAGTTAAAGATGCATTTGTTAACCCCTAGTGCAACCACTAAAAAAAGAAAATAAAGAGGTATAGTTAATAAATCAATAGTGGAGATAAAAAATGGAATACTAAAATATACTTGATCCAAAAGAAGTCAAGAAAGATGAACCAAATAGAATAAGTAGAAAATAAATACCAAGATGGTCGATTTAAACCCCAAAAGATCAATTGATAGGTTAAATGTAAGTAATCTAAACATTCTAATAAAATTCCAATCAAAAAGCAAAAGATGTCCAATTGGATATAAAAGCAGAACCCAAATAGATGCTTTCTATAAGAAATTCACTTTATATATAAAGACATAGGTTAAAAGGATGGAAAAAGGTTATACCAGGCAAATACTAATCAAAAAAAGCTGGAGGGACTATACTAACTTCAAAGTAGCCTTCAGAATAAGGAATATTACCAGAGATTAGAAGGGACATTTAATATAACAAAAGAGTCCATTTAACAACAAAACATAACAATCTTAAGTGTGTATGTACATAATGTCTTCAAAATACAAGAAGCAAAGACTGACAACTGAGAAAATAAACTCACGCATATATCTGAAGATTTCAGTACCACTCTCTCAGTAACTGATAGAACAAATACACACAAAAAACTTAGGGATTAAAAAAAGACTTAACACTATCAACCAACTTAACATAATTGACAATCAAAATATATTCCACCCAATAATTGAAGAATGCACAATTTTTTCAACTACACCTGGAACTCTCACCAATAGAACGTGTTGGCCAATAAACCAAGTCTTTTAAAAATGAAATCACATAGAGTATGTTCTCTAACCACCACTAATGACACAAAAAACTATCTGGAAAATCTCCAAATATTTGGAAATAAAATACAGACAGCCTACGAACTGAAGAAGAAATCACAAGATATATTTTATTTTGAACTACATGAAAATGAAAATACAACATATAAAAATTAGTGGGATACAGCCAAAGAATTGCTTAAAGGGAAATTCATACCCTTTAATACGTATGCAAGAAAAGAGAGGTCTAAAATCAATAATCTAAGCTTTTACTTGAAGAAAATTTATAAAAGAGAATATTAAACCTAAAGTAAACTGGGAAAGAGTACAAGAGCTCCTGATGTAAATGTTACATCTTGTTTTGTTTTGTTTTTGGCGGCTGGCCAGTACAGGGATCTGAACCCTTGACCTCGGTGTTATAACACTGCGCTCTAGCCAACTAAGCTAACGGGCCAGTCCCTGTTTTACGCTCATTACAGTGATGATAAAAAAAAGGTATAAACATATTAAAAAACAAACATCTGACAAAATTCACCAAATTGTATATTTTAAATGAGTACATCTTATTGGATATAAATTTTATTTCAAGAAAGTATATTTTTAAGGAATGATACAAAGCCCAAGAATTCTGAAATAATTTTTGTTGTCTTATCAGACCATAACTAATAATACCAGATTATTAAATGTTTGATAATAGAAACAGTTGATAATCTGCTTCTTTAAAAAACTATCATCAAGAACTCTGATTATAATTTATTAAAATAATTCAATATAATATACTTACCTACTTGATTACCACAGAGCTTAACAGGTTCTACTTCTAAATTATTTAATTTGTCACTTTCTTGGCTGTCAGTACAAGCAATAAGACTCTGAGATAACTGATTTGCAGTCAGGTTTGCATGAAGTTTTTGAATTTCTGCCTCTTTTATTGCAAGCTTAATCCTGGCACAAAAGAAAAGAAGCCAAAAATTAGAAAGATTTCATAAAAATATCTCATACTATTTCTCACCTTTTGAGTTGGTAAAAAATTTAAAATTCTGGTATTAAGCAACTCTTAGGCAGGATATATAAACTCTTACATATCACTGGTAAGATTGTAAATTGGTTCAGCCACTTTACAAACTTGATAGTACCTAATAAAATTGAAAATGTATGCATCCTATGACCCAGCGATTTCACATTTAAGAATATATACTGAGAAATTCTCACATATATGTATGAGGAAACACATATAAGGATGTTCTTTGCAGCACTGTGTGTAATAGAAAAGAACTAGAAACAAGGTAATTATCAATAAGGAATGGATAAATAAATAGTGACACAGAGGATAGAATCCTATAAAGCTATTAAAACTAAACTAACCACATTAATTCTTCCACTGATCAATCACTCTACCTATCTTAACATGGATGAATTAAAAAAGTGATGCTGAGTGAAAAAGCAAAATTGCAAACAAAATAAACAATTATAGTATACTTATATATGTGTGAGTATAACATTTCTATACACAAAATGGATAGAAAAATATGCATCCAATTCACAATGGCGATACTTATGGGGACAATGTAACTAGCAGTGAGAATCAAAGGATATTATCTGTCCTGTAATGTTTCATTTTTTATTTAGAGAAATAGATTTGAAAAAAATTTCACAAAACATTAAGAAAAATCAATGATTAGTTGTGGAGTCACAGAAATTTGTTTTAATATTCTCTGGACTTTTTTGTATATTTTTAAAAATTTGTCAACTTAAGATTTTAATTTAATTACTAATAAAAAACATTCTTATTTGTTATAAATTCAGAATCTGAAAATTGTACCTCAATTCCGAAATCATCAATTTATTTGCCTCACAGCAGTAAACGCAATTGTCTTCCTTGTTTGACAAACTACTCATCTGATGCTTAGAAAGAGATGATTTAAAACCAAATATTTCTCTTTTTAACTGCAAGTTTAAAAACAAACATATATAAACTTATGTATGTGGGATGCAATTGCTTTTTTATTCAGAACTCCAGGTTCTAATATAAACAACCTAATGTCCATCAATAGGAGAATGTATAAGTACATTATGAAATATTAAGATAATGGGAAAACAATAGCTAAAACAAATAAACCTGAGTTATGTAAATCAATAGGGCTATATCTCATAATACAGAGTGAAAAACAAATTATAGTGGCACACGTAGTACTTTAAAAAATGCACTAAGCAATATATATATTTCTAGATGGATCTATATGTGGCAATATTTAAAATATGGACAAGAAGACTACACATGAATTTAAGAATGGTTGGTACTTGTGAGAGAGAACTGAGATCTAACAAGGTACATAAAGAGGCTTCACCTGGAAAATTTTATTCTAAAAAAATCTGAAGTTGACATGGCAATATATGTCCCAGATTTTGCAAACACTGTGCTACACTGGTCTCTGTACTTTTCTGTATGTTTGAATAACACACAATTTTAAAAACTAGTTATGATGACCGGTTCCCGCTCGCTGGCTGAGCGAGGTGCGGGTGCGACGCCGAGGGTTGCGGTCCCGTTGCCGGTCCCGGTCCAGTGCGGGCGCGACACTGAGGGTTGCGATCCGTTGCCGGACACGAAAAAAGACAAAAAAAACCCAAAAAAAATAGTTATGAAAAGGAGCAAGGTAATAAGCACTCAACGACTACTACCTTCAAACTATAACCTGGGCCGGGCCGAGCCCGTGGCGCACTCGGGAGAGTGCGGGGCTGGGAGCGCAGCAGTGCTCCCGCCGCGGGCTTGGATCCTATGTAGGGATGACCGGTGCGCTCACAGAGCTCACTGGCTGAGCGCGGTGTGGCCGGTCTCAAAAAGGACAAAAAAAAAACAAACTATAACCAAATCACACTTTCTAGAAATGAAAAAAAAAAAATCACATTTCCTACCATATCATTCTTAGCTCTGCATGAAAATGTTATCCAGCATATATTACCATACTACTTTCAGAATCATATATCAAAAAATTCTTGACACTAAGCCCAAATGAGAATGTCAATTTTTAAAATAAATGCTATATGCATATGATTACTTTATAATTTCAAAAGCAAACAGCTATTATATTAAAAATCTAAGCAAATAAACAGTATCCTACAAAAGCAGATGTAGCAGAGAGCTGGGAGCTAAGAATCATATGTTCTAGTTTAAACTCTACTACTTCCTAGTTGGGAAAATTATTTATTTCCTTAGGTCTACATTACTTTATCAATAAAATGATGGTATTGAATCAGATAATTTCTAAGATCCTTTTCAGTCTCATAATTCCATGGGGTTTATAATAGTTTAAAATTGTTAAGAGTCTACCACCCATTGTTCATATGTGAAACCAATCATGACAGATCTGTCTCTAGTTTTCCCTTGATCTAGTTTCCCCTTTTTATTCCTGACACAGGTATACTCATCTTCCTTCTAATCTCACTTATATATAAGGTCACATATATAACTCAAAGAGAAAAAGTGGCAGACCATTATCATAAAAACATTTTATGAACATTCTATGCCATTCTAATAAATACATAAAAAGTTGTTCAACATTAGCCATTAATGAAACATGAATTAAAACCACAATGTGATACCATTTCATAGCCACTAAGACGGCTATAACCAAAATGACAGACAGTAAGTGTTAGCAAGGATGTGGAGAAACAGTAATCCTCATACACTGATGGTAAGAATGTAAAATGGTATAGCCATTTTGGAAAACAGTTCAGCATAATGACCCAGCAATTCTTCTCCTAGGAATTTACCTAAGAAGAATGAAAACATGTCCACACAAAGACGTTTATGCAAATATTGATAGAAGCATTATTCATAATAGACCAAAAATACAATCAACCCAAATGTCCATCAACTGGTGAATGAATAAATAAAATGTGGTAATCACACAATGAAATACTATACAGAAATAAAAAGAAATTAATTACTGATATATGAAACAACATTAATGACCCTCAAAAACATTAAGAATGCAAAAGACCACATATTGTATGATTTTATTTGTATGAAACATTGTCCACAAAAGACAAATCTACAGGGGTAAAAACTATTAGTGGTTTCCTAGGGGTGGGTGTGGGTACAGGAATTAATAGCAAATGGGCACAAGGGATCTTTTGGGAATGAGACAAATGTTTGAAAACTGAATTGTACTATTACAAAACGTGGAAATTTACTAAAAATCATCAAATGCTACTACAAAACATGGAAATTTACTAAAAATCATTGAATGGTACACTTAAAATGGGAGAATTTTATGGCATACTTCAATAAAGCTGTTTTTTAAAAAAATCCTGTGCCATTCTTATATATGGCACCTGAGAGACTGAGAAAGTGTGGAACAGTAGATAGGTAAGTGTAGCATCAAGTTTTGGATAGTACAAGGAAAAATCATGAACTCTATACAACATTAAATAAAATAGAAATTGATAACAAACTATAGACAGGTAGGAAAATATAACAGAAGCTAATAAAGCAACCACACTCATCTCTTATGAAACAATTCAGTAAAATTTTTTTTTTCATTATGTAATCAAGTACAGTACATTTCTTTTCACAGACACTTACTGGCAACTGGGATATAATTTTTTCCAAACTTCTCAGTTCTACCCTTGAATTTTCAATTTCTTGCTGACACAAATCCAGTCGCTCATTCTGTGTTGCAACACGGAACTTTAATTCTCGGTTTTCATTCATTAGAGAAAATCTTTCTCTAAGTATTTCATCTTTGTCTTCTAAATCACTTTCTAGCTTCAGAACACTTTGTCTAGATTCAGTTAATTGTGCCATGACTTCCGAATTTTTCACTGCCATGATCCTTAATTTTTCTTTTCCATTGTTATTTTCTTCTTTTAACTGTCTATAAAGAAAAAATGAAAATAAAATATACATTCATTTTCAATAATCATATTTAGTTAATCTCACTTTTTAGAGATTTTGTAGCTTAAGTCTAAAATAATAATACCTGCTGACATTTACTGAGTGCCTACTTTCTACATGCCGGGCACTCACAACTTTATGTGGTTGGCATTATTACTCCATTTATAGATGAGAAAATTGAGGCACACAAAGGTTATGTAACCTTCCCAGTGCCTCACTGTAAATGGTAGGGCAGGATAGACCTACTTCCTTGGAAGCATTTCTGCTCCCTTTTTATAAGTGTAAGACAGGAAATATAACTCCCAAATCCATGACACAGCAGCTGGCCAGTTAGCTCAGTTGGTTAGAGCACAGCCTGTAACAAAAAGGTCACAGGTTTGGATCCCTGTACTGGCCAGTTGCCAAAAAAGAAAAAAAAAAAAAAAACCCAAAAAAACTCTGATACAACATTTGTAGCATCAAGAAAGTTTTGCATAGTACAAGGAAAAATCATGAACTTTATACAACACTAAAAGTTAAAGTCTAATTTACCATTACAGATTATTAGGCAGTAATACCTTCAATTACATATATATATATCTATATATATCTCTATCTATCTATCTATCTATCTATCTATCTATCTATCTATCTATCTATATCTGTATCTATAAAAACATCTCAAACATTAAAACAATCTTATGCTTAGAACTGTTATTTTAAGCATAAGATTAGAATAAACTTAGAATTCATCAGATAAAATTCGAATTTCATCAGTTTATTTTTTCAAATTTTTAACATCTCTGAAATTGGGATAATCAGTAGTTCCTTTATAAGAGCTTGTCAGCTAAGCAGTCGTTGCAATGAAGTTTCATCTACAATGTATACGCAAACATCAAAAGAACCTGCAGCAAAACTAGCAGAATGGGCATATGTAAATAGGAAGAAAAAACAGAAGTTAACAATGGAGCACTTTAAACCCACAGAAACAGTGTGGGTAGGAGTGGGTTAGGTGGCAAATTGTATAATATACAGAACAATTCCTGAAACAGGAGTCAAACGTAAACTGGCTCTACATAATTGTAAAGTCAGATTAAGAGCCCAGCATCAGTAACTTTTAGTTCTCATAAGAATTCATTTAAGAAATACTTATCATCAATGCTCTTGACAGCACAGAGGATGATAACATGTAGAAACATTTGGACATCTTAGAAGGGTCAGACTCTGAATGTGAAGTTTTAGGAATATCTTAACCAATTTATTTCTCTTATATTTTCCTTCTTATACAAAGTAATACAAGATTTAAGAAATCACGTCTAATTAACTATAAAAGAATTCTTCCATACGGTATAAAATAAAAACTTAAGTGACAAAACATTTTATCATAGCATAATTAGCAGCATTTTTTTTCTTAAAAGTTTATTTTGCAAGCTATAGCATCAGATTCTAGGAAATATTCTAGTTACATAAGGTAACTATTATAAAAACTATCTTCGCCCTCTCCACTTTGGCAAAAATATTAAATGTACTACCTTAAGGAAAGAGTATAAAATAAAAACTTAAGCAACAAAACATTTTATCATAGCATAATTAGTAGCATTTTTTTTCTTAAAAGTTTATTTTGCAAGCTATAGCATCAGATTCTAGGAAATATTCTAGTTACATAAGGTAACTATTATTAAAAACTATCTTCGCCCTCTCCACTTTGGCAAAAATATTAAATGTACTACCTTAAGGAAAGTATGTTAAAATTAGACAAAACCAGTTATTGATTGCTCCCTGCACTCACTTTTTTAAAATTAACAATGTGGGGCCGGCCCGGTGGCGCACTGCTACAGTGCGCCACTTGGGAGCGTGGCGGCGCTCCCACCAGAGGGCTACCTCTGCAGACCTCCTTCAGCCTGGGGGTCCCATCCCAGCTCTGGTCAGCCCACACCTGCACCCAGCACAGCAGACCCACAGCTGACTGATCTTAGAGAAACTCAAGGGCTACCTCTGCAGACCTCCTTCAGCCTGGGGGTCCCATCCCAGCTGTGGTCAGCCCACACCTGCACCCAGCACAGCAGACCCACAGCTGACTGATCTTAGAGAAACTCAGGAAAGGCCCCCCGAGCAAGTGATTGCTGCCTGCTCAGCAACAGGAGGAAACGGATGCTGGAATTTCCCTGGGGGAGCCCCCATGGCCAGCAGGGTGTGTGCAGCCTTGGGGCCAGCTCTCGGGGCTGGTGCTGGCTCCTGCTATTGACCCTGTGGGGAGGGAGGGACACTGCTTTAGAGTTATGTGGATGGCCAGACATGCCACACCAGAGGATTCAACAACAGTGTATGTCACGTGTACTCACAGTCTGGGAGGGGGACACAGCATGCCACACGGGGCCACGCGGGGTCTGTGCTTGGGAGCAGAGCAGATGGCCGAGACTGGGAGGCAGGCTTTGTGGTCACAAGAGGGTGGGCATCCCTGGCTCCCGCAGGAGGCTGTGATAGGCTCATATGAATAATTCCACAGGCTGCTAGGGGACTGAAGCCCACTGCTCTGGGATAAGCTAGCTCTCTGTGCAAGGACTCTGTGACCAGGAGGGTTGTTTGGCTAGGGGACCTTATCTGCAGGAGCAGAGTGGGGACAGTAACTGAGGTGGGGCCATTCGGGGCCTTCCTGACTTTACCAGATGTCAATACTGCACATAATGTCCAGCCTTGATTTTAGGCCTCACACCGCACCCCCAGACCCAATAAAGAGTCCCAACATCTTCAGAGAGCGAGCTCCAGAACCAAGAGCCCCCATTCCTGAGCGCTTCCTAATTCTGGGCTCCCTATGGGCACTCATGTCCATAAGAAGCCCTTGACCCCAATAGGATCCCAGAGGCCATAGGATGACCCAGGAGGTGGGACCTGCCCCCGTGGGATTACAGGACCAGCAGCCATCACCAGGGAGCAGAACCCTGCTCATATACAGTATCCCCTCACGAGGTCCCCAGCAGATCCCAGACCCCATGGGGGACCTGGGCCCCAGCCTGGCAAGGCCAATCCCAACAGGAAGGGCTCTGAGGAAGAACTGGGCCCACAGACACCACTGTGAGGAGGTCTGGCTGTCCTCCAAGCCCAGCATCCTGCTGCCAGCCGAGGTCTGGAGCCTTCAGCTTGGGAGTCTGCTGGAGGCTGATTCCACATAGTACCTGCACCGGGATGCCACCTGCCACCCTGATGGCTCTGGAGTGGTCCTAGAGAAGGGCCCACTTGTCAGTTAAAACCCCAAGTTGGGAAATGAAGTCTGAGGGCCGGGCAGGGCCATCATACAGGGACTTATATGTAAGGCCCCTGTCCTCTCCCGGGCCCCATCTGTCCCCACTGGACTGGACCATTGCACTGGGCTGCCTAGCCTGCCATCAACCGTGGCTCAGTCCCCCTAGTCCCCCTGCCGCACAGGCAGGGATAACTCCAGCTAGACTCGTTGTCGTCCGTGCTGTGCTGTGAGGACGGCCCAGGCCCTGCACCTCCCACCCTGCATCTAAGAGCCAGAGAGCAGTCCCTGGTGCTGCTGTGTGCACAGCATGGTGTCAGCACTTTCAAGGGCCCTCATGGCAATTCTGGGGGCAGGTGGTACAGGGAGTATTATCCCCACTGTAGTCCACAGAATAATGGCCCTCAACGATATCAGTTTCTTATCCCTGGGACCCATGAATGTGACCTTACTTGGAAAAAGGATCATTTGCAGATGTGATGATATTTGGGATCTCGAGATGGGAATATTCCCCTGGATGACCAGGGTGGACCTTAAGCACAACCATAGGAATCCTTGTAAGAGGAAGGTGGAGGGAGATGTGACCACATACAGAGGAGATGTTGAAATGAAGACGGGGCAGCGAGAGATCTGGAGATGCCGGCCTCTGACTGCGGCCACGCAGCCCCGCCCAGGAATGCTGGCGGACACCAGAAGCTGGAAGAGGCAGGGCCAGGCTCTCCCCAGAGCCTCCAGAAAGGACTGTGGCCCTGAGGACCCCTTGATTCCAGCCCAGTGATGCTCACAGCAGACTGTGGGAGGGCAGATTTCCATGGTTTTAAGCTGCCCGGTCATGGGGATTGTCACAGCAGCCACAGGAAACTCAAGACACTCATTTAACAGACACTTCCATGGGCACAGCCTCTTTTAATCCTCACCCCTATTTTAGAGTTACTCACCCCCATTATTATCTATCACCCTCATTTTACAGACGAGGAGACTATGGTCAGAATGATCCCCAGATAACAACTCCTGGAGAAGTCTTGGTTCCTCAACCACTCACCAGTTGGATCTCCTCATCCCTCCTGGCAAACTGCCCTGTGCCAACCGCCTGCCCGATGTTCTGGGTACAGGGTCCACCCGTCTTACTGGCCTTTCTCTGATCGTCTAGAGCTGCCCAACTACCTTGCCCTTCCCACTCGCCTGCAGGGAGTAGATCTTGTTACAGGAGCTCTCTTCCCAGACTGGCTTGGCCATTGGTGATAAACTTCCCTCCGCTCCCATTATGGCACACACAGAGCCAGAGGGATGGGGTCAGCATGGGAGGTCGGCCTGAAATGACCCATGGGCCTCACCTGGGCAGCTTTGTGGCGCAGGCAGTGCCTAGTGATCCTACCTGCCAGGGCTCTGGTTTTTGCTCCACAGGTGTTACCCACGGAGGGATGGGGTCAGCATGGGAGGTCGGCCTGAAATGACCCATGGGCCTCACCTGGGCAGCTTTGTGGCGTAGGCAGTGCCTAGTGATCCTACCTGCCAGGGCTCTGGTTTTTGCTCCACAGGTGTTACCCACCCATCTCAGAGTCCCTGGGAGCCCTCAGAAGGCCTAGCGGTGGCTGTCACTCTCCCAGCCTGGGGTAGGGTGGGAATAACATTCCCTTGGAGGGCAACATGGAGTGCATCAGAGAGCTGTCAGGGAGGGGAGGAAAGATTTTCAGGGGGAAGAACACAGAGCATGTTG